GCACCAGACAATCTACTCTAAACATCAACCAGAGTACAGAATAATCACTCTGCCATCAGCAAATATCAGACTTTCATTCATGACCTAGTAATATCCCTTAAAGAGGAAAAAAAAAATCTTCCGAACCTTAAGTTTTTCTCTTTAAAGGACTGACCATTTCTAGAAAAATAATGATTTCCAAAACAAATCTGTTTTCATCAAAATGGAATGGGCCAATCTGGTAACAAGAATGCATCAAAATCCATTTGAAATAATTATCTAAGACTTGTCAAATGCAAATTTCAAGAACAGAAGGTAACTACTAAATCACGAACTCTGTTCAAAATAATAAACTTCATATAAAGCACTTCTCTGGATTTATGCCTGAAAGCTGTCTGTGAAAATGGAACACACCATAGATGAAGATACACCAATTTTTAAAAATGTTGTGCAAAAATACATTTTTATAGAAAATAGACTACCAGGAATGAACAAATTTACACTGTGAGAAATTAGCTTGCAAATTAAGTAGTGCTCACTTTATACAGCAAATTATAAATAGCAGTAGGATCACCCAAAGCGATCATGAAACATCATTTAGGCGCCCAGCAACCTTCAGCTCTGAGAAAACATTCAAAAAAATGATTAAGGCATTACACCTACAGTAAATCTACTAGAAAGTTTAAAAGTGCTATTACCCTGATTAGAGTTCATGTGATTCTCCAAACACATAAGTTACGTACGCAATTTTCCCAGGGTGTAAGGTTTCCAGACATTGATTCAAGAGCATGCATTTTGTTCAATATACATTTTGGATAGGGATATGGCCATGGATTTGGCAAGTTCTTCATCGCGTTTTCTTTGCACTTGAGTTTGTTTGCACCAGTTGTCATACTCTGGGTTGGGATAGGAGTGATCAAATACCGCATCATAGTGTCCATTACTAAGCCAACTAAGCCAAATGCTAGGCCTCAGGGAATCCTCCGGGCCCAAATAGTGAATCATAGTAGACACCGTGGGGCTCTCCAACCTCCCTCCAGTAGTTAAGTGGATATTCACATTCAGCATCTGCCCCATGGCCAGCAATTCCGGGTACCCGGCCCACGCCCCGTCTTGGGCAGCAGCGATGATAAACTCCCCCACGTCGCCCTCAATCAGGGGGCTGAAGTGGTCGAGGTGATCCGCGATGTAGTGCACCGTCTGCTCCCTCAGCTCCCGGTGCAGGCTCTGGTCCCCGTACACGGTCTTGCTGACAGCTCGGTAGAGGCAGTTGCCGTCGGGAATGATGTGGAACCGGTACTTATTCCTCTGTCGCAGGTACTTGTCTTGCCGCTCCACCTCGGCCAAGTACAGGGCCAGCTTCTCGTCTCTGGGATCCGACCTGGACACGACCACCGTCTCGGCCCCGCTGCTCTGGGCAGCCTCGCCGCTCCGCGTGGGGGGCGCCTCGGCCTCAGGGTCGGGCCGCCACGCCACGTCCCCGCCGGCAGGGTCGCTGCGGTCGCCGCCCCTCTCCCAGCCCCGGGGGCTCCTCTCCGCCAGGTGCTCCTCGCCCCACGGGCCGGCGCTGGGTTCCGGGCTCCCCGGGGGCGGCGCGGGGCCTCGGTGCTTGGCGGCGGCCAGGGCCTGGCGGTGCTCGCTCAGTCGGAAGTTTCTGTCGGGCCCCTCCCGGGCGGCGTCCAGGCCCGCGGGCTCGGGGCAGTCGGGCCGCAGCAGCTCCTCCAGGAGCCAGGCCGAGGAGCCCCGCCGCGGCGGCACCGGGGCGGCGGGCGCGGGAGCCAGCAAGAGGCACCGGCCGCGCTGGGCGGCGGCGGGCGCCGCGGCGCCGGGCCCTGGCTCGGGCCCGTGCAGCAGGAGCCTGTCGGCGCCCAGGGCCCGCACGGTGATCTGCGCCGTGGACGTGTAGTGCGGCGGCAGCGGCGGCTTGCAGGACGCGCCGGGCGGGCCGGCGGCAGAGGCGGGCGCGGCGGCCCCAGGCACCATCTCGAAGCAGGAGGCGAAGGCGGGCATCTTGGCGGCGGCGGCTTCCCGGGGCTCGGCGGCCGCAGCGGGCTGGCACTCACCGGTCTCGGGCTCGGGCGCTCCGCTGGCGGCGCCCGGCGGCTGCAGCGAGACCTTGAAGGGGGCGGCGGCGGCGGCGGTGGCGGGCGGAGCGGGGGCTGCGGCCGTGGGACCCGGCGCCCCGGCGGGGTAGTGGGTGCAGACGCTGCTGTAGAGCTGCATGTCCCTGCCCGCCGCTCGGCCCCTTATAAGCGCGGCGAGCCCCCGAGCGGGGGACACACCCTCTGGGCCCGGGGGAGGGGGCCGGCCGAGCGCGGTGACCCAGTGCCCCGAGAATAGCAATGACCGCAGGACAGCCGGCCGCCGCGCGTCAAGAGCTGCAAATAGCGCCCGGGTCCCGGCCAAATTCCTGCTGCGCCACAGCGCGCGGTGGGGGCGGGGAGGGGACGCGCGCTCGACCCCTGCCGGTGCGCTCGGCCCGCAGCCCCGGGGCGCCGCGCTGGCCCGCGCCGGCCGCTGGGGACTCTCGGAGGAAGCCGCCCGCCCAGCTGGAGCGCGTCCCGCGGGCCAGGAGCAGAGCAGGGCGCGCGAAGGGCCGGGAGGCGGGGCCGCGGTTGTTTACCTCAGGCCTCGCGGCCGCGTCACGTGAACCCTCTGGAATGTGGGGCTCGTCGCGGCGCCCCATTCAACTGCGCGGGCTCGCCCCGCCCCCTCGGCGGACGTCATGGGCGTGGCCCGCAGCGCGCGCGCGGGGAGGGGCGGGCCGGGCCGGGCGCGCCTTGGCTCCGGCGCCTGCGCAGTCGTAGCATTGCCGGCCGTCGCCCGCGGGACTCCAGCGAATTGCTACCCTCCCCCACCTGAGCCACAGGTTTCCGAGCTGCGCCACTTACCGCAGCTGCAGTGGGTCGCGGCAGGGTGGGCGCCGCTTGGGACAAGCTAGAATGCTTGGAAAGCCCAGCCCAGCTTGGTATGGAGGACGGAGTGCTGCCCTAAAACCTGTACGGCCTCTGGTCGTGGGCCACCATTCCTCCTGGCATTCCGCGCTGCGTCTTTTCGATTCAGTTCCTGGATTCGCTCGTTAAGGTCTCGAATTTCCCAGGATCTTGCTGCCCTGCTAAGCCGAAACCAACATTTCTGCACCCCTAACCCATGCAACTGGCAAATACATAGCCTGGGCAAAAGGAAAGAAGCCTTTCCAACGGTCCGTCTCAGAATAGAAAATGCCATGCCACCTTGGGCCTTTTGAAAATAGGTGCGGATGCTGACCTAAGGTCAGAGGCAGTAGAGACAGTAGCGACGTGCATTCCCAGGCGGGGTCGAATATAAAAAACACTGCTACTGAACCATGTTAGTAATGCTGTCCTTTGTGAAAGAAAGTCAGAATATTCATTTCATTAACCACGTACTGACTTCTGTAGCGGGAGAGTTTTGCTCTACTAAGAGCTTTGATCAAATGCTAAATTAACAGGCCCTAAACATTCAAGTTGAACCTAGAGGCTATCCCATTGTTTTAGAGATGGGAAACTGAGCCCGCAGGTTGTGGTATACACCTCACCCCACCTTTCCCCGGAAATGTAAATTCCATTAATGGAAAGACTTTGTCTTGTTTTCTATTGGATTGCCATCCCTTAGCACAGTGGCTAGCACAGCTAATTAATATTTACTAAGTGAATGAATAAATGGAAAACGAGTTCCCAGGTTTTCTCAGGCAGTGGAGAAGCCAGAATTAGCATCCATTTGTCTTGACCCTAGCCAGGGCTTTTCATTTGCCATGGGTGTATGACTGGCAGGATCCCAGCTCTGGTCACTCCAACCGGTTAGGTAAATTAACTTAGGAGAAGGCCAATGACTATCCAGCCAATTTTTAAAATTCTGGGGAGCTTGGAGTCCCCATGGCTGATTAGAAAAGGGAAATTATTGTTCTTGGATTTCATAACCGATTTGTTGAGTGTCTGTTGCTACATGCATTTGAGCACATCACACTAAACTCTACCCTTGGTCTTTCTGTAGCACAGAAGATAAGACTATTAATATTAACAAGAAGACAATCCTCAAATAATATTTACTGAGTACCCAGTGTGTACCTAACAGGGCTAGCATAACAGAAGCCTGGAAGGAGGAAAGAAAATAATTAGAATTTAAATCTTAAAGCAAGAATGGATTTTAAGGCCAAGCACAGTGGCTCACACCTGTGATCCTAGCATTCTGGGAGGCCAAGGGGGGAGGATCGCTTGAGGTCAGGAGTTGGAGACCAGCCTAAGCAAGAACGAGACCCAGTCTGTACTAAAAATAAAAAAAATTAGCCAGACGTGTGGCGTGCACCCGTAATCCCAGCTACTGGGGAGGCTGAGGCAGGAGGATGGCTTGAGCCCAGGAGTTTGAGGTTGCTGTGAACTAGGCTGACACCATGGCACTCTAGCCTGGGTGACAGAACAAGACTCTTGTCTCAAAAAAAAAAAAAAAAAGAATGGATTTTAACAGGTTGGGGAAAACACAGAACAAAATAACACTAGGTACACAGAAGATGGGCTACTTCTGATGTACCAAGTTAGCAACAAACAAAAACAAAGATGTAAAGATTCAAAACTTTAACATACATGAGGGCCTTTTTTTTTTTCCTTTTAGTTTCCGTGGGGGCAGTAGACTATGCAAGGCTATGTGTTGGATGTGGGAATCAGTGTCCACGTTGAATCTCAATCTGGAAAGTCTTCCTGGAGGAGGTGATACTTCTGGAATCCTTCAAATTAGGAATGATTGGCAGCCTTGCAATGGAGTTGTTTTTGGCCCTGAGAAGCTAAGGGAAGGCAAGGCCTTGCAAGTGATAGCAAAGCCATTGGGGTGGGGAAGAGAAGACGGCAAATCTGATTCCTCGAGCAATCTCCTTAATACCTTTTCAGATATGAAAGATGTAATTGTACAGCAAGAAGTATAATATATGTTGGTATTTACGCATCAGGCGTTGGGAAGACAGGAGTAAACAAGATTTCCACGGTCCCTGCCCTGTGAAGCTTGCAGGAACAAATAGTGGCTAGAATTTGGCTGCTGATAGTAAACATTATTACAACATAGGCAAATTTGTTCTGTTCTGCCTAGTTTACATCTGAATATTGTAAGCTGATTCATTGAAGTTTATTTTTTTCTTTCTGGTTTTTGGACAAATTCTGTAACAAAAGATCTGTAACATTGATTCCTGGAAGTTTTACAAGAGCCCTGGGAATCTTGGAAGATGGAAGTTATTTCAGAATGCATCAGGCATTTTTTTTTTTTTTTCCATTTTTAATAGAGACAGGGTCTCACTCTTGCTCATGCTGGTGTCAAACTCTTGACCTCAAGGGATCCTCCCACCTCGGCCTCCCAGAATGCTAGGATTACAGGCGTGAGCCACCGCGCCCAGCCCAGAATCCATCAGGCTTTAGCAAAGCATGACTTCCTAGGTAAGCGTGATGAAAATAATGCAAACAGCAGAGCAATGGCAGAGAATCAAGCCAAGGTTCTTAGCCTCAAGCAGTTTCTATTACGATATGGTACATAAGACCAAGAGCAACTTCAGGGGGAAAAAATGAGTTCACACAATCATCTATCATCATATAATTAAAATTAATATACACGATAAATTGCTACATGGTTAGAAAGTTTGAAGAACTGTAAGTACTCAGGGGATAAGTTGTTGTATTCCGGGTGGCTTACTGATCGTTAACCCCACCTCAACTGTAAGCTCTTTAGGAGAAGGGTCTCAAAGCATAGAATAACTGTTAAAAGTTTTTGCTATAAACTGTACTTTAAAAGCATGGAAAGGCCATAATTGCGATTTAAAAAAAAACAAAAACAAAAACCCTGTGCAAAGAAGCTGAATCCTATATCTTGAAATAAACATTAAATACATCCAGTTATGTTCAAAAAAAAAAATCCCTAATGATTCCATTCTTGGAAAATCATCTGTCCAGCATATTTTGATGCTGTGCAGAAAATTGGTGGAAATTTAGGAAAATAGTATTCTAAACCAAAATTGATTGCTTAATTATCGTACAGGCTAGAAAAACAGAAAATGTCAGTAGCTATAAACCAAAGGGTAGCAACAAGAGAACCGAAAGGTTAAAACAAAACAAAAAGGACAGGGTATTAATCAATGAGTGTTTATTGAATACCAGCTATGCTGATAGCAATGGTGCCAATCACAAAAAATTCAGAAACAGATTCTGTCATGCAGCCCAGGCAGTAGAAACTTAGCCACCAAAGTCATCTTTATAAAATAGAACCAATTCTGGCATTTTTAAAAAGGAGCATATACCTAAATATTACCATCTCTTAGCAGTATTCCTTTAAAAATAATATAATTCCTAACCCCTAACCCTTTGCACCCAAAATAATTAAAACTTTAAGTAACTCATATGTTCCTCCATTTATTCATTCATTAGTCATTTCTTTATTAACCTACCATGCAAAACAATCTTGAACAAAGTTGGAGAACTCATGCTTCTCAATTTCAAAACTTACTACAAAGCTACAGTCATCAAGATTACATGCTACTGGTATAAATATAAACACATAGCTTAATGGAATAGAATTGAGAGTCCAGAAATAAATCCATACATTCATGATCAATTGACTTTAAACTATAAAACTCTTAGAATAAATAATAGACATAAATCTTCAAGACCATAGGTTAGGCAGTAGTTTCTTAGATAAGACATAAAAGACACAAACTACAAAAGAAAAAAATAGAATAACTGGACTTCATCAAAATTATTAATAAGAACTTCCGTGCTTCAAAGGACATCATTAAAAAAGTGAAAAGAAAGCCTGAAAAATGGGAGAATATATTTATAAATCATATACCTGATAGGGGACTTCTATTCAAAATATACAAGGAAGTTTTATAATTCAACAATAAATTGAAAAATAACCCAGTTTTTTAAATGAGCAAATAATTTGAATAGAATTATTCAAAGAAGAAGATATCCATACAGCTGATAAGCACATGAAAAGAGGCTCAACATCATTAGTGATGTGGGAAATGAAAATCAAAGCTACAATGAGATATACTTCACACCCACTAGGACGGCTGCAAGAAAAGACAATTGCAAGTGTTGGTTAAAAAGTGAAGAAAGTAGAATCCTCTCGCATTGCTTGTGGGATTATAAAATGGTATAGACACTTTTTAAAAACAGTTGGACAGTTCCTCAAAAGGTTACATATAAAGTTACTGTATGATCTAGCACTTC